TCAAGTTTGTCAACAGTTGGTTTTTCATCGACTGCAGTTAGAACTGGTTTTTCATCCTTGTCCATCTTATCAGCAGGGCTTGGCGTTTTCTCTTTTTCAAGTTTGTCAACAGGTGGTTTTTCATCGACTGCAGTCAGAATTAGTATTTCAGCCTTATCCATCTTATCATCAGGGCTAGGCGTTTTCTCTTTCTCAAGTTTGTCAATAATCGGTATTTCATCCTTGTCCATCTTATCAACAGGGCTTGGCGTTTTCTCTTTCTCAAGTTTGTCAACAGTTGGTTTTTCATCGACTGCAGTAAGAACTGGTTTTTCATCCTTGTCCATCTTATCATCAGGGCTAGGCGTTTTCTCTATCTTAAATTGGTCAATAGTTGGTTTTTCATCGACTGCAGTCAGAACTAGTTTTTCCACCATGTCCATCTTATCAATAGGGCTAGGCGTTTTCTCTTTCTCAAGTTGGTCAACAGTTGGTTTTTCATCGACTGCAGTCAGAACTAGTTTTTCCACCTTGTCCATCTTATCATCAGGGCTAGGCGTTTTCTCTTTTTTAAGTTTGTCAATAATCGGTGTTTCAGCCTTGTCCATCTTATCAACAGGGCTAGGCGTTTTCTCTTTCTCAAGTTTGTCAACAGTTGGTTTTTCATCGAATGCAGTAAGAACTGGTATTTCAGCCTTATCAATCTTTTCATCAGGGCTAGGCGTTTTCTCTTTCTCAAGTTTGTCTACAGTTGGTTTTTCATCGAATGCAGTAAGAACTGGTTTTTCATCCTTGTCCATCTTTTCTACAGGGCTTGGCGTTTTCTCTTTCTCAAGTTTGTCAACAGTTGGTTTTTCATCGACTGCAGTCACAATTAGTTTTTCCACCTTGTCCATCTTACCATCAGGGCTTGGCGTTTTCTCTTTCTCAAGTTTGTCAACAGGTGGTTTTTCATCGACTGCAGTCAGAATTGGTATTTCAGCCTTGTCCATCTTATCATCAGGGCATGGCGTTTTCTCTTTCTCAAGTTTGTCAACAGTTGGTATTTCATCAACTGCAGTCTGAATCGGTTTTTCCACCTTGTCCATTTTATCAACAGGGCTTGGCGTTTTATCTTTTTCAAGTTTGTCAACAGCCGGTTTTTCGTCGACTACAGTTGCAACTGGTATTTCAGCCTTGTCCATCTTATCAACATGGCTTGGTGCTTTCTCTTTCTCAAGTTTGCCAACAGTTGGTTTTTCATCAACTGCTGTCAGATCGAGTATTTCAACCCTGTCCATCTTATCAACTGGGCTTGTCGTTTTGTCTTCCTCAAGTTTGTCAACAGTTCGTATTTCATCAACTGCAGTTGGAACTGGTATTTCAGCCTTGTCCATTTTATCAACAGGACTTGGCGTTTTATCTTTCTCAAGTTTGTCAACAGTTGGTATTTCATCAACTGCAGTCTGAATCGGTTTTTCCACCTTGTCCATTTTATCAACAGGGCTTGGCGTTTTACCTTTCTCAAGTTTGTCAACAGTCGGTTTTTCGTCGACTACAGTTGGAACTGGTATTTCAGCCATGTCCATTTTATCAACAGGGCTTGGCGTTTTGTCTTTCTCTAGTTTGCCAACAGTTGGTTTTTCATCTACTGCTGTCAGATCTGGTATTTCAACCTTGTCCATCTTATCAACAGGGCTTGGCGTTTTGTCTTCCTCAAGTTTGTCAACAGTTGGTATTTCATCAACTGCAGTTGGAACTGGTATTTCAGCCTTGTCCATTTTATCAACAGGGCTTGGCGTTTTATCTTTCTCAAGTTTGTCAACAGTTGGTATTTCATCAACTGCAGTCTGAATCGGTTTTTCCACCTTGTCCATTTTATCAACAGGGCTTGGCGTTTTATCTTTTTCAAGTTTGTCAACAGTCGGTTTTTCGTCGACTACAGTTGGAACTGGTATTTCAGTCTTGTCCATTTTATCAACCGGGCTTGGCGTTTTGTCTTTCTCAAGTTTGCCAACAGTTGGTTTTTCATCAACTGCTGTCAGATCTGGTTTTTCCACCTTGTCCATCTTATCAACAGGGCTAGGCGTTTTCTCTTTCTCAAGTTTGTCATCAGTTGGTTTTTTATCAACTGCTGTCAGACCTGGTATTTCAACCCTGTCGATCTTATCAACTGGGCTTGGCGTTTTATCTTTCTCAAGTATGTCAACAGTTGGTATTTCATCAACTGCAGTCTGAATCGGTTTTTCCACCTTGTCCATTTTATCAGCAGGGCTTGGCGTTTTATCTTTCTCAAGTTTGTCAACAGTCGGTTTTTCGTCGACTACAGTGGTAACTGGTATTTCAGCCTTGTCCATTTTATCGACAGGGCTTGGCGTTTTGTCTTCCTCTAGTTTGCTAACAGTTGGTTTTTCATCAACCGCTGTCAGATCGAGTATTTCAACCCTGTCCATCTTATCAACTGGGCTTGGCGTTTTGTCTTCCTCAAGTTTGTCAACAGTTCGTATTTCATCAACTGCAGTTGGAACTGGTATTTCAGCCTTGTCCA